TTTTCAGCAATATGGAATCTGCAGAAACACTGCCAATTATTGTTGATAACGCGGATGCTGAGATAGTTAAACCGTAAGTCTTAATTTATTATAAATTACATGTAAATTGAATGTAGATTTTTATTATTATATTTGTGTAGACTAATATTAATTTTCATCAAATTTTACTTATTTAACCCTATAAGGCCCAGTGTACATAATTAAGTACATTCACTTTGAACTTTTCCCAAATACTATTTATATTGACACAGTAGTGACTTTGTATAATACTCTTAATTCATACTTACTAGTTGCAATTAGAATTGCTGTTCCAATTTAAGAAATAATAGTATTCTTACTAAATAAGCCACTATGGTGATTGTTTGCAGAGCAAATTTACTGACACTTGATTTTGTGTAACATGTTATTCATTTTGTATATTACTGAAAATATGTAAATAATTAGTAGTTTCTTATTTTTTACCTTCTTAAAGTACAAGATAGATTTATCATGTTTATTATTAATTTAAATATTTAATTGTAATTCTGTAGCTGGAGTGTATATATAAATATGAATGTACATGATTATGTACCTTCAAAAGAACAATTTTATTTGATACACAAAATTCTTTATCAGGAATATTTGTAAAGATCATATTATATAAAAAAAAAATTTACTCAAACAGAATCGGTGTCTAGGCCTTAAAGAGTTAAAGAAACTCGATGTTTTTATATGAAATACAGTTTGTACTAGAATATGCAACATGTTGCACGCGCTAAGACATTAACATAATATATTTTAATTCTTCATATAATCTTGTATTTTATTTAGTAATCTTTTACTATTTGTTTCTATTAGAACAATAAATCTTTTCTCAATTTTTCTAATATGAATTTAAACTTGTTACAGAACTACATCCAAGGGTACAAAACAGGACATGAAATCATCGAAGGATAGCCCAAGGAAAAAGAAGCTGCGTTTGAAGATTGCAAAATTGAAGGTACAAAACAAAACGCTCCGCGAAATAATCCGACGACTCCGTTTGAAAGAAAAAAAGAAGAACATACAAACCGAAGAGGCTAACGAACATGAAACTTTAAAAAAATTAAGTCGTAAGTTACTATCACAAAGATTTAATAAAATATTAGCGGCACAAATTGATGCACAATGCAAAAACAAACGTGGCAGAAGATATGATCGTGATTTTAAAAAATTCGCTTTGTCATTGTATTTTTTAAGTCCAAAAAATTATAAAGAACTGAAGAAAACAATTGCATTGCCTTCAGTACGTTCTCTACAATTATTCACACAAACGTGGAATACTGTGCCTGGCATAAATGAAAAACTTTTTGAAGCACTTAAAGTAAAATTGAGTACATTACCGTTAATAGAGCGCCATTGCGTATTATGCGCAGATGAAATGAGCTTGAAAAGCTTTTTATTTTATGATATATCGCGGGATGAGATAATCGGTTTTGAAGATTTTGGTGATAGGGAAACATCCGTACCCGCAAAAAGTGCATTAGTTATAATGGCACGTAGCATTGCAGGAAACTGGAAACTGCCCGTTTGTTTTTGCTTTATAGAAACTGCATGTCCTGCTACATTTTTAAAAAATATTATATTTGATATCATTATAAAATTAAAAAACAATGGTGCTTTGGTGCATGCTTTCATTTCTGATATGGGTTCAAATTTTATCCAACTGTCCCATATGTTAAATATTTCGGTAGATAATTCAAGTTTTGTAGTTGATGGAGAAAGACTTGTATATATCTTTGACACTCCACATTTATTAAAAGCAACTCGAAACAACTTATTAAAATACAATTTTCAAATAGATAATAAAATAGCTTCGTGGAATCATATCGTAGAATTTTACAAAAGAGACAGTAAACAATGGATAAAAGCAGCTGCATTAACAAAGTCTCATATAGAACCAAATAACTTTTTAGGAATAAAAGTTAAATATGCTGCACAAATATTTAGTAATCATGTAGCAGCTGGCATGTGTACACAAATGTCTTCTGGTTTTCTTCCAACTGAAGCAGTTGGAACTATAGATTTCATTGATCACTTTGACAAATTATTTGATATATTAAATTCATCCAATGTAAATAATCCTAAAGAATATGGAAAAGTTTTTGTTGGAAGTGATAAACAAATGCAATTTTTAGAAAACATGTTGAATTTTTTTAATTCTATTAAAGTGATTAATGATAAGAATAAATATGTAAAACTAAAATGCTTAGATTGCTGGCAGATCACAATTAAGAGTACAATTCAACTTTGGACGACTTTAAAAAACTTTAATTTTCCATATCTCCGATCACGCAGACTAAATCAAGATAGTCTTGAAAATTTTTTTGGCTCTGTTCGGAAACAAGGTGGTAATTGCCTTAATCCAACACCTATACAGTTTAAGCGTGCTTTTAAAAAATTATTTAGTATGAAATTATTAGAACATTCGGAAACGCAAAATTGTGCAAACGATAACGATGATTTATTAAATATTATCGGAACATCAAATACTACAGAGACGTCCACAATTTCAGAACTTGTTTCATCGTCAACGAACAAAATTTAAAAAATTCCTGTACATGATTATTACTCAATGGATCTGCCAGAGGAAAATGCATTTAAATATGTTTGTGGCTTTTTGAGTAAAAAATGTTTAGCAATACATTCATGTGCTGCGTGTCAAAATTTTATAAATGACAATAAGGCTGTCTTAGATAATACAACGCTATATTGTTCTTTTCGAGCTTACGAAAATGAAAATGGAGACTTATTTGGTAATATACCAACTAATGATTTTTGTTACTATATTCACAAATTAGAAGAAATATTTGTCAAAAATTTTGAAAAAAATGGTTATAAACAAAATATTGGTAATTATCTGTTCCAGTTAGCACAAAATATAGCTTTTGAACCACCATGTCCAGATTTTCCAAAAGATTTCTTAATAAAATTGTTTCTCCGGATTTATTACACATTATCGCAACATAATAAGTCATGTAAAACAATTACTCGAAAGAATAGAAAACTTTTAAACATTTTACATTTATAATTTTTCTTAATTTGTTGCGTTTTTTATCTACAGCCTTGTTTTCATAACATACTAATTGTAATTTATAATTTATGAGCTCATTATAATTATTGTAATTATTTTATTGCATTTTTTACAAGTTTCATTGCCTTTCTTCTTCTTTGGTTCATATCGAGGTGGATCGAGTAGCTGAGATATGATTCAAGAAAAGTTGGTCAATGAAACGTATTTTGTGGAGTGAACTGTTGTAAACCATGATTTATTAGCCCATTATAATTATTATTATATAATTATTTTATTGTATTTTTTCTAAGTTTTATTGGCTTTCTTCTTCTTTGGTTCATATCGAGATGGA